TTAGATTCTTAGTGCAAGTAAAATTAGGTAATATTTCCCCTTGTGTACATTCCTCATACAGGAAGAATTAAGTAGCGTTTTTCTTTATGAATTTATTGTTTGGAGCTGCTTCATGCCCTTAAGGTGGATTGCCATTATTGCAAATAGCAGGATTTTCTTTTCTGTTAAGATTGTATATACACGACAAACTTTACACTATATGTATATCTGATTATTTTGTTCCATTACAGACTCATTGAAATTCCTCATCTTTGTATGTTTGCAGCATTTTTCACACAGACCTGCAATTACCATCTGTACTAATTAATTATACTTTCACCATAATTAAGTCAAAACATATTACCTTTAACCCATAGAAAGGAAGTCTAAAGTAAAAATTGTACTGATAACAAAAAAGAATTGAAATTGCTTATAATTTCTTAATATAATTTTATATTTACTTTGCTATTAATGATTTCTACCTTGTAGGATGGAATTATATTGCGCTTTAGTTTCTAAGAAAACCTACTGTAAGTGACATCATGATAAGATTCTTCAATCTGGACCCACAGGGTATAGGTATATCATATTACACTGTCAGAATATCTATAATAAATAAAACTCTTGTAGTAACATGTAGGCTTGTAGATGTCAATTTTAGCAGACAAAAGGCTTTGCAGAGTTAATATCACCTCTTTTGCATTTAGAATACAAAATTAAATTTCATGTATTGCTTCTTGGTTTAGCTTGTTTTATTTGCATGGGAGATTTTCACTGAATACCTTATCTGATAAAGCAGTTTATATGAAGAGCAAAATTTTCCTGAAAATAATGTAAGAAGACACATAAAATGCACAAATAAAATAATTACATTTGACAATCAAATCATTGCCCAAAATGGTACAGTTTCATTTAAATAGACATTTTTAAAGTATGTCTCTCTCTCTCTCTCTCTCTCTCTCTCTCTCTCTGTGTGTGTGTGTGTGTGTGTGTGTGTGTGTGTGTGTGTGTGCGTGTGTGTGTGTGTGTGTTGCACAACTCCTAATTGGTCTTAATAAAAACCCAGAACCAGATACTGGGGTAAATGCTGAAAGATCAGAGAAGCAGAGGAACAAACCACAAGAGAAACTTCTCACCACTACTGAATCCTCAGGCAGAAATGCGAAGATCCTGTCTCCATGGATCCTCAGTCTGAATGTTCCTGAGTCCTCAGCTGAAAAGACTGAGTTCCTGTCTCTTTGCACTTTATATGCCTTTCTCAGTCCAGCCACATCACTTCCTGTCTCAACATTCCTAGTGCTGGAATTAAAGGCATGTGACTCCCAAGTACTGGGATTAAAAGTGTGAGCCACCACTGCCTGGCTCTGTTTCTCTTTTAGACTGCGTTAATCTCATGTAGTCCAGGGTGGCTTTGAATGCACAGAGATCCAGACAGATCTCTGCCTCCCGAGTGCTAGGATTAAAGGTGTGTGCCACCACTGCCTGGCCTCTATGTTTAATCTAGTGGCTGGCTTTGTCCTCTGATCTTCAGGCATACTTTATTTGTTAAGAGTACAAATTGTATTGCAACTAATATACAAACTATATATATTAGAGAGAGAGAGGGGGAGAGAAGGTAGGTATGTGTGCATGTGTATATCACTTTGAACTTAAAATAGTAAAGTTAATTATCAGGTCAAATTCTACATATAGTACAATTACTACACTCCATGAATCAGATTTATTTTGTATCTGTTGAGATGTGTGTCTATAGAGTGAGGAATGAAACCTACAATATATATAAAACGAGGTGAGGAGCCCATAATAACACCACAACCTTATTCCTCATTGCCAAAGAAATTTTAGAAAATGGTATTTAATCTATGTATTATCTATCAGCACTCCTTAACCCATAGTGAAGATCATAAGCACAGGATAAGCACAAAGAAATTTGTCTGTTTGTCTGTCTGTCTCTCAATATCCCTGCCATCTTCATGTAAGGATGGGAGTATATGAACAGATATTAGTGGGTGGAAAAACCATAAACACATAATGTGTAACCTAATGAATTGAGATTAGAGCCTTAACTAATTCTAATTTTTTTAAAAAAAGGAAGAGAAGGAGCGTTCAGTTAGGCATGATGGCACATGTCTATAATCTCAGCACCATGAAAACTATAGCTTATGAGTGATTTTAGTTACTATGCTGAACTGCAGATGGAATGGGAACTAATGTTGGTAAAAACTCTGTTTTCATGTCATATTTTTGCTCTTTATCATTATGACAACCTGGAAGTTATGCTTCCCAACATGCTGGGAATATCCCAGTTGGGTTTTCCTGCAGTATCAACTTCCCCAAGCATGTTTTATGAATTATTTTTCCATGTTATTCACATGTTAGAGGAATATTGCCTTGAAGATGTCATAATCATTAAGTGAGTTGCATGCCTAAGAACCATATTTCAATATAAAACATGTCTAATAATTTTGCTGTTTAGATGAGGAAATCTCAGGAAATGAATTCATTTTTTAAAACCTTGCTTTTGTCATTTGTAAAATATGAATGGTTATGCTAACTCCTAGATCTATTTTAAATATTAATATGAGAATAAATATAACACACATATTCTGATAGTTAGTAAAATGCTGTTTGGTTGCTAAAACTGATGTCAGCATCATTAAGAAGCAAGCAGCATTGTCAATGTATTAAAAACATGTGCATAACTGCACAGACTTGATGCAGTTTCCAATAACTGTGCCTCCTTCACCACACTGCTAAACTTTCCCTCAGCCGCTCAGAGAACTTACCATTCATGTGTAAAATTACAATGGAGGTGACAACTCCTTCTCCCAAGAGTTCAATAGTGTGGTGTGTTTCTAAAACCTTGAAATATGTAAATATTTACATATCTATCAGAATGCTTGGGCGTGATGGACACTATTAACCCTTAAATTCTCTAATTTATTTATTCAGTTTATTGACACCCATGGGAGGTCTGCCCCTTTCAGAGCAGAAACAGAGGAGGAATAGATTGAGGAGGGTGTGGAGGAGAGGTGGGGGGAGGGAATAGGAAGAGAAGAGGAAGGGGAAACTGTGGTCAGGATGTAAAATAAATAAACTGAAATTTTAAAAAGCTCCAGCTTCCTTGTCTACCGCTTTAAAGGAGCTCATTGTCACCCAGTCTGCATGTTTTGTCAATCTTCCTGCTTCATTCTGTGTCCCCAGTTCTCACTGTAGACCTGACTAGCGGAAATGAGCGGTAACCACGTCACAGATAAGATGCTATGGGGTCATAAAATTTATTCTGCTAAGGCAATACACTCTTTCTGTTTTAGTTCTTCCTCACTCAAAATTTGAAGACACAGGAGATTACAACACAGACAGCCTGGTCTAATATCTGCCCCTGAAACTTCATGTGTAGAGTAGTCTCTGCTTTTGCATTGCCGTCTTGCCATTTTGATCTTCTTAGGTCCCACCAGAGTCACCAAGTAAGCTCATCTGATAGCATTTAGGGCTTATCTAGCCCAAATCTCTAAATATCTCCAAATTATTCATGTAAACAGGTCCAAAGGCTCAAGTCCATGTATATAGGCTTAGTTCCAGCAGTGACCCCACTCCTTGTACTGTTTGTGCAATGATTGCTAGTGCATTGCTGTTACAAGACACCTCACATAACAATTTAAAAAGGGGAAGGATTTATTTTTGACTCATGGTTTCAAAGTATTTAGTCCTTAATTCATTGGCCCAATGTGCTGGAGAAATTCTCATGGTAGTGCAAGCAAGATAGAAAGTACAAGGCCAATGTCTATTAGCTGGAACCACCATGTGAAGCTCCTATTGCCTCCCAAAATTATGCCAGAGGTTGGGAACTAAGATTTCAAACCATGAGCCTGCAGGGGATATTTCATATTTACACCATCACCATAAGTAAACAGAAATATATGATACAATTCCAAGTAGATGTGGTGAATAAAAATATCCTAGAGACACATCTTAAATAGAACCAGGAAATCATGAGCACAAATTCAGAAAGTGGAAGTCTGTCAAACATCAGGTATCTGAGCATAAATAACAGCAATGTGTGGGGCAAAAATGAATCGCGAGTTCAAATTAGATAGAAAAAAAATGACACATTTTCAAGATCTGATATCGCCATGTGAGGAGTCTGGATTTGTGTGTTTGATGGAAAGCACTAGAGGATTTTGACCAGCTTTTATGAGAATGAATTTACTATCGCTGTCCACTCTCACTCCTGCTCCCTCTCTGGGTTCTGTTTGTTTGTTTTTTTCTTTTGACACAGGGTCTCAGTCTGCATTCCAGAATGTCCCAGTACTCACTGTGTAGCACAGGTTGGCCTCTTAAGTTCTCTTTCTTTGAACTCACTAGCACTGGTACTGCAAGTGTGAGCCACCACCCCCAGCTGAGAGTGTTTATGTTTTAAAGACAATTTTAATAGAATGGAAGCAGAGAGCCAGATCAGTGTCCAACACAGAAGAAGTGGCTGTAAAATATGGAAGAAAATTGAAGTATGAGTTATCCACAGAAGCCGTGACTATGGAGACAGTTGATTGTAGATTATTAGTGGGTAGAGGCATTGGTGAATATTCTTGGGCTTTAATATTATATCCTTTTCTAGTGGTGCAGCCATTTATCTATAGTGCAGATATACATAAGCAAAAAGGAACCAGCATTCTGGATTTAGATTAGCATAATTAAAAGTGAAACAATTGTGGCCGAAAGTAAAATATTCAGAGACACTGGGTATTTAGGGAGGCAGACAAGCTGTGGAATGAAAGGAAAGATGCCTGTGGCAATATACTAAATTTTCCCCTCATAAAATTTACTTTACCAAAGCCTAATTGCAGCACACTTCATTGATTAGGATTGAACTGTCCACAGAAAGAAATATCCTGTCATATTTTAACACGGGATATGAAACCAGGACAATTTTTCTGTTCTACAAAGCCATTCATCATGAAAGTCAGATGATCTCCACTGATGTTCTTTGCTTTCATCCTGATAGATCAATTATTTCATTTCAGGGTTTGCCTGCAAGTCGGGTGAGGTATAGAGTGGATGATGTGCAGTTTCCATACCCTGCCAGTATTTTTGATGTAGAAGAAGATTCTGGAAGAGTAATAACTCGTGTCAATCTTAATGAGGAGCCTACAACAATTTTTAAGGTCAGTGTGCCATTTTCTTTGTGACGTCTATTTGACGTCCAGCATTGAGGGTTTTGCTTAACAGTTGTCAGTATGATTTTCTATTTTTCACCTCTTTAATTTTTAAAAGTCATTTCTCATTGAAATTTGGAAAATGTACTTTAAAATAAAAGAATCACTTCATATTTTATATATTTGGCATAATTAGATGCTACTACTTGGTCTTCTAATGAGAGTCTAGGCTCCACAATAATCATGATATTCAATCTGTACTCAATTATATACTGTCCATACCAATCAACACAAGTAATGCTATTATCTTAATGGCTATCTGGTGTTCTGCTCTGCAAGTAAAGCATTACCTTTTTCTTTGTGTTTCTAATGCTACAATAGTAAATCATTTGGTTGCTACTGTGCACCTCTATCATTCTGAAACGACTTGTGTGAATGCTATTGTACACCTGCTTGCAAGTGTAAGTGCCTACAAGTATAATTGCAGAAGTGAAATCATGTATTCTTGACAGGTAATGCTTCTAGAAAATTAGAAAAAAAATAATATCCATTAACCTAAACTGAGTTGCTTTGTGTTAATAACCTTTAATTTTCACAAGAATGTACATCTCTGTGAAAATGTTTGCATGCCTTAACATAAATATTAGAGCACTTCTTTGTGTATTGTGGTTGTTAAGGGAAAATACCAATTAATACCACAGTAATAATACATAGATATTACCTCGTACATCTAAAACTTTTCAGTTTATGTATTTGAATAACTCCCACTGTGTACCATGTGCTCTTGGTTTTAAATGGACTCATTGTTTTAAGAGACTACATAACAAAGTGTTAACCATAAAGGTTGCCTCTTTTATTCTCTAGAGAAAAACATTTTTACTCTTTAAATTTAGGGAAAATTCATGAAAATTAATTTTTTATAAGTAACCTAAATTATCTTTTTGCTGTTGATACAATGTATTTAACACCTTTTAAGTAAGTGTGTTGATGCTATAAAAGTACATTTTTCTTCTTATAGGCAGCATTGTCTGTAGAAATCCATTTAGAATTACATAGAATGAACATCATCCATATACTCTATAAGAAGTTGATTTTTTTCTTAACAGAGTTCATAACTCATTTGATTTATTTTTCTTCTGGCAAATAAAAATGACATCACCTAGCTGGATGTTTATGAAGATTAAGGGAGAATGTGGCATATCCCAACACAGCATCTCTTTCTTTGAAGGGAGTAGGAAGATATTACTTTTTCCCACAACTGGAACCAGGAACAAAATAGCAAAAGCTTTGATGCTGTCTGTGTTGACGTTTTCTCCTGTTTATAATCTGTATGTGGATCTTGTCACTTTTCTAGCTGGTGGTTGTGGCTTTTGATGATGGCGAGCCTGTGATGTCTAGTAGTGCCACCGTGAGAATTCTCGTCTTACATCCTGGAGAGATCCCACGCTTCACCCAAGAGGAATATAGGTATGAATTTCTATCAGGTTTTAAAGCACTGAGCTTTTAGTGTGTTTTAGAGGCACTCTCAAAATTGATCTGAATTTAGCAATGAGGCTGGCTTTCAACTTCAACTTGATTTTAAAATTAGAATGAAACCTTGGAAGACATACCGTGATTACAACCGTTTAGTATGACATACTTTAGCAAAGCTTCACCTGATCCTTTATAAATAATAAAAAAGTTTTGTTGAAATATAATCATATAATTCTAAGTCATTAATGAACCCAGGGTAAAAATGGATTTTCAGTTCTCATTGTTGCCAGTATAATGTGACCTCCACCTCTAATGTATGTTCTATGGCAACACTTTCCAAGACATGTGATGTGTGCCTTAATACCATGTTATATATTATAGCAAGGATACTTTCAACTCATCAAGTGATAAGAAAATAATTCAAAATAACCAATGAACTGAGGCAGTCTAGGGAAAGTTGAATCAGGTCATAATCCTCTTACATGTGCTCTTACAATGGCACCAAATGATTGGCTAGGTTTTTTTTTCCTAAGTTACCAATTTCATTAATAGAATCTCATTGCAGTTAGTATCTGTATTAAGACATTGCATAAAACTCTAAATTATTCATTAAGCAAAATATTTTCAATTTTTAAAAAGTGGTATTAAACAAGGACACTTAGAAAGGAAAGCTAAATGAACATGTCCTAGAATTCATTTTTTATGGTCGTGGTGGATAACCATCCGAGATTCTCTAGGGCACCAGCATTATCAGGATCAGATTCCTACCCAGTCTTTCTTAGAGATGCCTTCTTTCTATGTCTGCACATGGCAAAGAAAGCTAACTCTTTGTAAATGTTCCTTATGTGGGCACAAATGTGCATGCGCACATATATGATGTGACATGCACATATATATACATATATATACACACATATATTCATACATGGTTTATAATTATGTTACCATCAGAAATCTCTATTTTTCGTGCTTTAATCAGTATCTTCATCTAACTTCTAGTTTGTCTCGAGAAAGACTGGATCACTGAATGTCCTGGGACCCAATGTAGACTCCATTATCCCTTGTTTATCCTGATGCTGATGCTGATTCATGGATGTGAAACATCTGCCCTTATTTTAGTGGATAATCTCTACATTCCCTTCAAGATTGCTGAAGGGTGGTAAACATCCTCATTACAAATATATGAAACAATATATAATACAGCAATTTTAATCTCAAAATATTCCCAATAAAGTGATTATTGCAAGAGGCTCACAACCCTGGAGTAGAAACAGATGTAACTGTTGTAAACACAGTACACCATGGAAACACAATCCATGAGGAGACAGTAGCACCACTGTGCTGGGGAAACAAGGTGTATACATGTACAGTCATGCCTGAATACCCACATTCTACTGAGCTGACTTAAAGGTGGTGTAGGAGTTATCCATAACAATACAGATAGATGACCCACATCTGTGAGTCAGCGTCAGCATCACTTAAACAGGGATGATGGAATCTTCACTGGGTTCTAGAACATTTAATGATTTCAGTCTTTTTTGAGAGAAATTAGCATTTGAAGATGATACTGGTTGAGGCTCAAGAGCAAAAGAGATCTCTGATGACAGTGGAATTCATCGTGTTTTAAAATTTGGATTTGGGTGTTTTATTACTTTTTTTTCTTTTCTTTTTATTAAGAGATTTTCTAATCATTTTACATATCAACCATGGATTCCCCTGTCCTTCCTCCTCCCACCTCCTCCAAGGCAAGGTCTCCCCTGGGGAGTCAGCAGAGCCTGGTACATTCAGTTGAGGCAGGTCCAATCCCCTCCCCCCTGCACCAAGGCTGAGCAAAGTGTCTCACCATAGGCACTAGGCTCCAAAAAGCTGGCTCATGCACTAGGGACAGGTCCCGATCCAACTGTCTGGGGGCCCCCTAAACAGTTCAAGCTAAACAACTGGGATTTGAGTGCTTTATAATTTCAAATAACTTCTTAAGAGTTTGAAGCTATAGCAGGAACCAAGATACCGGCAGGTGGAGTAAATGAGGACATATCTTGGAAACATCTGCCACCACAAGAAAATTTTATCTTTATAATACCATAGCTCAAAATCAACTTCCATGATGTAAATCCTGGACAGTCCTCCAAAGCAAGCACACAAACTATACTAAGTGTATTCTAAATTCTATGTGAGACAAATAAAATCCCATAGTTAATGTTACTATAAGTCCTTCTGCCTCATGCCCATCGTTGCTGTCTCTCTCACTTGGCTTTCTGGAATGCTTTGTTTATAGTAGGCACAGTTTTCTGCCATTGGAGATATTTCCCTATTGAGTTACTTTGAGTGTTTCAAGCACCAACATGACAGATTCACATGGTAGTTTTTGCTAGCTTTATGTCAACTTGATACCTGCCATAGCCATATGGGAAGAAGGAAACTTAACTGAGAAAATGCCTCCATGCCATAAGGAAGCCCACAGGGCATTTTCTTAATTAGTGATTGATGTAGGAGGGCCTAGTCCTTTGTAAGTGGCATCATCCCTGGGCTGGTGGTCCTGAGTGCTATAAGAAAGCAGATTGGCCAAGCTCTGGGAATCCTGTTGAAGAGAAGGGGGAAGGATTGTACAAGCCAGGGGGATCAAGTTCATCACAAGGGAACCCACAGAAATGACTGACCTGGGCTCATAGGAGCTCACAGAGCTGGACCGACAGCTAGGGATCCTGCATGGGACTGACCTAGGCCCTCTACATATGTGCGGCAGTTGTGTAGCTTGGTCTATTTGTGGGACCAGGACCTGTCTCTAATGCTTGGGCTGGCTTTTGGGAATCTATTCCTCATACTGAGCTGTCTCCCCAGCCTTAAAACAAAGCAGGGAGCTTATCCTTACTGCAACTTGATTTGGCATGCTTTGTTGATACCCATGGGAGGCCTTCCTCTTTCTGAACAGAAACAGGGGAGGAGTGGATGGGTGGGTGCAGAGGGGATATGGGGGAGAGGAGGGGATGGGAGGAGAAGAAGGAGAGGAAACTGCTATAGAGATCTAAAATAAATGAAAAATTTAATTAATAAAAAATTAAACAAAATATAGGTACTTGGGATAGAAAAATAAACTGATTCTTTATATGCAGATTTTAAATTTTTATAGTATTCCTCAAAGAAGAGAGAAAGAAAGAAAGAAAGAAAGAAAGAAAGAAAGGGAAAGGAAAGGAAAGGAAAGAAAAGAAAAGAAAAGAAAAGAAAAGAAAAGAAAAGAAAAGAAAAGAAAAGAAAGGAAGCAGTCTGAGCAAGTCATGAGGGAGCAAGCTGGTAAGCAGCACTCCTTCATGGTCTCTGCATCAATCAGCTCCTGATTCCAGATTCCAGCCCTGCCCCATGCTCTGACTTCCCTCCTTGATGGTCTTGGTGGGAACTGGAGGCTTCAATAAACCCTTTCCTCTTAGGGTTGTTTATGGCCATGGTATTTCGTCACATCAATAGAAACCCCAGCTAAGACTTTATGCTTCTCCCTATCTTTGCTGGGGCCCTCACAGACACTGGTAAAGGAAATTTTCTTGTCCATCCTTGGAAACTCTAATAGGGAAACAAACAAACAACACAACCAGCCATGGAATAAGTATCATTTCCCCTTGAGTAAGCTCAGGACATCCTGCCCTTTCTCTGGGCCCCAGCTTGGAGCTGGACTTGTTCCCAGTTAGTAACAGGTGTGCCTCAGATTCTCAGACATTCACGCTGATCTTTGTCTCCTTCGAATAAAACCTTGAGGCTTTGAGGCCAAGGTCATGATGAGAATCTGGACATTGTTCATTTGGCTTGCTTTTCTGTGTGTCCTTGTTCAACACTAATTTTGAAAAACACAAATGTTTTTGCTCAATAAATAATTTAGCATTTCCCACTGTGTCTGAATATAAATACCAACCACAAATAGATTCTATTAATAAAATTATTAACTTAGAGAACAAAAATTTGCCAATTATCTGGTGCTATAATCAAAAGCAGTCAGGAGACCTTTAAGAGGGTTCTGACCTTCAAGAACTTTCTCACAGCTACAGAGTCTTTGTGATTGTCTCAATCCTTTGTTATTCTGAATCAAAAAGGGGATTTAGCCATCTTGTAACTTGTTTATGGATAGACTCCTATATAAAGTCAATGTTACTGATGAAATAGATTCAGTGGAATTTGGTACTGAAAAAAAATGGCCTTGCTTTCTATCAGATACCCAGAAAATTTAGAAAAAAAAAATAGCAAATCTGAGCTGAAGGCATTGCTTTGGTGATTGGTGTCAATATCTGAATTTAAATGTTTATACAGTGTGCTAGGAAAACCTTAAAACAGTGGGCAGCTCCTCAGCAATCACTCCAGCTTTGCTGACTTGGGGGACACTCATGGCAGTGTTTCTGGACTCCCCTACTTTCTCATGAGCACACAGCCAAACTGTTTCCTAGGTCCACTTGCTATTGGGAGTCACCAAACAGGGCTATACTTTTGGAAATAAACTGTGGTACTGAATGGTCTTTACCATGTTTTAGCCTGGCTGAACCATTTTGCCCAGGAATACCTGAAATACAGAATATACCCAGGGCAACCCTGTCAGCCATTTGTTGACAAAAGTAGAAACACAAGTTAAGAAATTTGCATGTCTGTCTTGTACTAGGTACTGTCCTTTCAAATGATATAAATTATATTGATTTGAAAGAATGCATAACGTAATTTATTAACCATTCTGAAAGTCCTGCTCATTCATGCTGCAACATTTTCTAAGTTTGTTTTGGTTTGGTTTGGTTTTGTTTCCTTTTGGAAGCATTGTCTGTAAGGATGATTCTTGTCATTATATTCTCAGTCGCTAGCTGTGGCAATGTTCTTATGCTATTGTAGACTACCTGAAAAGCCATCCCAGCTGCCTTCTAGTACAGAACCATGAGTATAAGATGCTTACTGCCTTTGCGCTCTTACTTTTAAATCTATTCCCTGCCTCAGGAGTCCATGCATGACTCCCAGAGGGCAAAGAGGCATCA